CAGAGCGGTTATATCATGTGTATTATCAGAATAGATATGCTTTTATTCATCCTATTTAGTTTCTTGGAATCAGATTCTGAATTTTCTTATGGATGTAAATTCTGTTTTTTCCTGTTTTGTTCTGTGAAAATGGCAATCTATTTTCTGGCATTGTAAAATGATTCGGTGGACAGTTTTTTTTTTTTTTTTGGAAAGCTCAACAAAATTGTGCAAAGACGATTTTACCCTCAACAATTTGTGAAATTCCACAACACCATAAGGGTAACTTGGCAAATTCACATCAAAAAGCAAAACTTTGAAAAGAACTTCAAAACTTTTTGCATAACAAACGCATCAGCGTTTTTAGATTCTAAAAAAGCAAAAATCAACTAAAAAAGCAGTAGTCGAACTCCACCTCAATCAACATCTCACTGAGATAAAATGTTGGACGGAGCACCAACACTTTCTAAGGAAAGATGTGGAGGGAAACTTAAACAAGTTGCCAAGCAAAACTCTAACACAAATAAAAAGACAAAAGACTGCAGTGTTTACCTGCTTGAGGAGCCTCTTTTGATACCGGTAGCCCTAATGACATAAATCAAATAATAACATTATTATGATACAATATAATCAGTTAGGTCAAACCAAAAAACTTCAAATAATAATTAAAACTAATTGTATAACGACCTTATCAGTTTCATAGATGTAATCACAGTAGGTGAACACGGATGCAAAGTTGCTCTGGCTTTGTCCTCCAACATAATGATGGTAATCATGGTATTCTGCACCACCATAAAATGGAATATATTTTATGGGATTCCAAGGGAGGTCATACCTGCGGGTTTACTTATTGGTTTTAATTTCTATTTATTGGTTTTCAAAACTGAAAGGTTGTGGAAGTTCAAAAGGAATGAAAACCAACTTTAACCATTGTTGGTTTTGATTTCTATTTACTGGTTTTCAAAGCTGAAAGGTTGTGGAAGTTCAAAAGGAATGAAAACCAACTTTAATCAATATGTTTTAATTTCTATTTCTGCCCCTCATAGAAATAGAAATTATACAACTAGTATCTACACATTAGGTCCATAACACATATACCCTTAAGCCTATTAACTAAATTGAATCACTTAAATTGTAGATTTCTTATAAATGATAACACCACATTTAATTATGTGGTCCCATTGAGACATTATCTAACAAGAGGTACTTTGTTTCCTAATTGATCACACTAGGTTGGCTACATTTACAACACTTCTAACCTTCTCTGGCCCAACCCCCACCTAACCCTTTTCCCAGACATTTATAAGCATTGCACATATGGAGATAGGGCTTTCTTATTCTCACGAATCTTTAGGGCTTTCTTTTAAGCATTGCACATTGTGGGGATTGCTTTCTTCCCAACACGACACGGTATTCGTTGAATATTTTTTTAACATTTATCAGACTCACGTCCAAACATGACCTACTAGTTGTAATGATTTTTTTAACACTTCAAATGTTTTGTTTTAACAACCATAAAATACATTACAAGTCTAAATAAATGAACTTCAAATTCAATGGTAAAAGGAAACAACATGAATTTACACCTATTCTCATCATTTTAACAATTATTATCTTTGAACACGTGTCCTTCACATGCTGTGTCTCACATTTTTTAAAATTTACATGTTGACGTGTCTGTGTCATATCCCATGTCCATGTCCATGGTTCTTAGTTTTGGACAGATCATGGACCTGCAAGAACTATAGGTGATCCTAGTAAATTCAGAGTTATTGACCAAAGTAGCTGCTGATAAACCAAGTAACCAACTTAATAAGTAAATCATCATGAATCGTAATAACCCAAACAATTACTAGATCATGTGAAAATTGAGAAATACAGAAATCTAGAGACATGATCATGAGTTTTTGAGACGGAGAGATTTCAGACAGATGATCCCATGCCTCCATAATACCCCGTAGATCATCAGAAAATGAACCTATGACTTGTTGATTTAATTAGCAATTTGATGGGTTGGGATAGGGACCCCATTTTGGAGAAGAAGTTCAGAGCTAGAAGCTCCTAAGAGCAATGTTACATGAATTTGTGACAAGGTAATAGGAAATTATACCAATTTTTCCATCTAATTTGTCATATTGTCACGTTACAAGAAGTGTTTGAATCTTCATAATGCATGCCTTGGGATCTTCCCATCTAAGCATGATTTAACAGAGTTCTTTGAGCCAAGACGAGGATTTGTCGAGTTGGGTATGATCAAATACAAGATTTCATGTCAAATGAATATGGGCTTAGGAAGATCCATCTTGGAATTGAGATGCGTGTAAAATTTAACTAGTTTCTTGTTTGATTCAAATATGAGCTCCATATGTATTAACTCTCTTCTACAGCTTATGGCATACTTGACTTTGGCCGCGGTGGCAGCGGCTGCACAGTCTTCAGTGTTCGCTAAGTTTGGGGAGTCAGAGCTGCAATGGATGAAGATATGCAACATGTACGGAAAATTCTGCAACCAAGTAGGAGAGGGATTAGCCAGTGCAGTAATTGCTAGCCTTAGCATGGCGGTCCTCTTATACGATGGCGACAAAGGTGGTAAGAGCAGTGCAAGATGGTAGGCCTCTAAAGGTCATTAATGTCATTCTAGCAATGTTTCCAACTCAACAGAGAGTGCACTTTGTTACTTAACCAGTTTGTAAAAAATAAAACAAGGCTAGTGTTTGTGGAATTTGTCACTAGATTTGTCTTTTACTACATTTTGTAGGATTTGAGATATGGTAATTAACTTGACCACATGTGATTCCGGTGCAGTTGAAATACATCAGACCTTTGGAGTCGGTAGCTCACAAGACTCGACTCATCAGGTTGATCACTTGGATTCCCTTCACCCCCTCTTCCTCGAGCACCAATAATCTGTATCATTATATGTCTTATTTTCTATCTTATATACATCATATATTGTTACGCTACTAAAATCAATTAAGAAGAATGATGGACACACTACAGGAAATTCAGCTTTTAGTGGCGTTTAAAAAACGCCGCTAAAAGTGTCAAAAACGCCACCAATTCTTTTTGTGACGCTTAGCACCAAACGTTGAGGACGCGGCCGTCGCTATAGCTTTATGGCGTTTTAAAAACGTCGTGATATTAGTATAGGCGGCGTTTTTAAAAACGCCGCCAAATGTCCTCCTAACCACGCGCCAAATGTCTCACGACATTTAGCGACGTTTTTGGAAACACGCCGTCATATCTTTTTTAAACAAATATGACCGTTAGCCTGTAAGATTTAAGAGGCGTTTGTAGAAACGCCGTCATATCTTTTTTTTTTTTTTTTTTTTGGAAATTGTACTAATTTTATTTGATTGAGCTAAAAAAAATATCTGCAATAGCACTAATATAAAATAACAACTCCCATTCAAATAGTTGTAATGAAGCATTAATTCACTTTCTCATTCAATTAATATCCAATCACCATTACCCACAAAATTAACATATCCAAAATCTAAAAATCATGTTTTAACGTTAGCCACAAACTAACATATATCCAAAAATCATGTCTTAGCATTAAAGTTGTAGTCTTCACTGGTCTACATGCTTACATCATAACATAAATTGTAATAAGATTCACCAAAATAAACACAAATTGAAGAATTCGTACCCAATATTTAGCAAAACACCATTCTTTCTAAAAAAATTGCAAAAATAAAAATAAAAATAAAAAAATGAACCCGGAAGGATCTTCATATGCCAGACTAAATGTTTACCAATTCAAAGAGCACCCTGTAGGCAACGCAATGCCTGCTTGTAGACTATTCTCCCATATCACCTTACGGACGGTATTCTCCAGGGTTTCACATAAGTCAACCATTAACATCCCAGGCTTCAAAATACCTTTGATGTATTTTCGAACCTAAAAGCAGGCAAACAAAACGTTTTATGTGATAAACCAGATGCAGAAATCCTCACTGAAGTTTTCGCCAGCATCAACAGAAAGTAGATTCCTTTGTTTCTATATTAGCAGTTGTATGTGCGTTGTTGCATATAAGAGCAATTAGAAAATAGAAACCTGATGATGAACTTCTGCAGCTCAACTAACAGAATTATATATGGGTTTTTCCAGACACTCCAACTCTCTCTTTTCTTCAGATGTAGTCCTCCATAGGTTACTGAAACAGAACCAACAACAATGAAAATCAAGCCACAAAATCAATGGAAACAAAAAAGGGATGCAAAATAAGTAAGGGGGAATCACAATGGTAAATGTAAACATGGCTAATAAGAGACCCAAAATTAAGGTTCCCTACCATAAACAAAAGCATTTATATTGAAGTGATCCAAAGTACACAATTATGCCTCAAACTACTACTAACCAACACTAAGCATAAACAATGGTAAAAAATCCTACTACAAAAACCTTCATTGAAAACATCAGCCAACTAATCTCTTGATTTCACAAAAAGGAATTGAAATCAATCCTCTATTGTCAGTGTAGCAACCTGCTCACACAAACGGAAAGTTTATTCTAAAGGTCATTCTTCAAGTAACTAGGACTTAGGATGCACTTGCCTGGAAAAAATAAAGAAAAGAATAGAAAATAGCAGTTCACTTACCAACTGAGCAACAACAAAAGCCACCACTAGCAAAAGGCCAGGACGTTCAACGAAAGACCAACTCCTAGAACGTGTCACAAATATTAGGGCCTGACTGATGATACTCACTTGCAAGTATATTGCTGATGCAAGCTTCCTGAAGTCATCATGAGCTGTTGCTTCAAGAGTTGAAACCCCAAATATACGCTGGAAATTACACAAAAGGAGGGGAAAATATGTCTCAAGACCAAGCATAACACTGATAGATCAGTGAAAAGAAGAATCATTCAGACTTCAGTCTAGAAGTAAATAATAAAAATTGCATACAGGAACAGTGAAGCGCCTGAATTTGGAATGCATTTTCAAAATTTCACAAGATCAGGCACACTTCAAAATTTTGGATTTATCAATTACATAGAGCCTAAAATAAAATGCAAATAACAAGCATATAAACATCATACATTCTTGAAAATGTCTCATTAATGAAAACTGTATATCAATATTTAGCAAATCTAAACTACTATGTTAAGCCAGGACCAGGGCTGGTCACCAATTCACAAAATATGAAATCCTTTGGCATATAACCTATCAGGTGTATCCAATCAACTATTTCATGACCCATTTACTATAGTTATAAGTTTTCTTACAGGAAAAAAGTTTGTCTTGTATGCTGCCCAGAAGAAAATGACTGTCATCATGGCCAAGTAACCACCAAGAATGACTCCAGTTACAAAAATTTCTGCCAGCTTCCAGCTATCAGGCTGAGGAGATGGTTTCACCCTATCCTTTGATATTGTCATGATGGTACCTGGCATGCCATATAGATAGTATGTATTTAGAACCCCACACACACACACAAATCGAGGCTAATGACAAGAAAATGAGAAGAAATATGCATGAATCTACATGTAGAAAAGGTAAGTAAAGTGTGACAAAATACAAACCATCATTGAGGATGGCAATGATCAGCACCATGAAGGGTGGGAAATCAAACCTCCATATGAGGGCGAGCAACATAAAACCAAGCTTTCAAAAACAGAGAAAAAAGAGAAGTAGGTACAAGGAAGATCACAAGCCATGACAAGAGGATCCTATCAAAAAATATGTAATTATGCTAGTAAAAGTGCAAATAATTTTTTTAAAAGAGTTTCAGTTATCATCCTAAATTAAAACACTTACCACAATACGAATAGTAATAGAAACCGCATATATCTGCACCATGAACACCCAAAGCATAAAAAAAAAATTAGTCAATTAAATAATCATAGCAGCATTTGTACAAGTAATGGATGTATTGTACACTTGGATGCAACCCAACTAAGAATTTATTAGCTAGATAAAAAAAATTATTAGCTAGATAAAAAAAATTATTGGGTTGAGGGGGGGTTACATTCCTGGACTTCCTGCTTCGCTCCAATTAAGATCCCAGAACCTGCACAGTCCACCGGAACATAAACTTACCTTCTCTTTTAACTACCAGTTGCATCAATTTAATAGCTGATTATTCAAACCTGTGTATGAATTTCTGCAAATGAAAAATGATTATGTTTTCTAAAACAGTTGTCACACATTTTCTTTTGGGAGTTGGTTATTTTAGTTTGATTTATTTGGTCATTAGATTTGTCACTACTAGACGATCCTAAAACTTAAAAAAATTCAGAAAAATCCAAAAAAAACAAAATAAGCCAATTTTTTTCTCCATATAAAACTTAACTTATTTTCATATTTAGTAAACTTTTTTATGATAATATTTAGAATCATTTAGTCGACACAAACCTAAAAGGTAAAAAAATTCAACTCAAAGTTGAAAGAAGTACACAAATTAAGCTAGTTTTTTAGTTTTGGCCAAAGAGTCTTTTTTACTTTTCTTTTGTAAAATTGTTTTCTAGGTTCCTTCCAACACTATGCTTCATCATCTGAAAAGTACTAAAAAAGAACCGAAAAAATTCTAACTGCTTTTCTGACTTGTCCTAATTGTTCTCTGGGTTCCTTCCAAGATTGTGCTTCATCATCTGAAAGGTATTGAAAAAGAACTAGAAATTTTCTAAATGCACAGAATTCAATCACAATGTAGAAGAATTGAAAGAACAAAGATAGATATATAACCATCGATGCACGTACCCTCCATTCAATTCCTGATTATGTAGTTCGATCAAGTTGTCAATTCCACCATATGTTATTCCGGTGACGGTTCCTCCGGGATTTGACAGTGTGAGTTGGAGTATGCCATTGTCTATCACCACCTGCACCAAAACGATGCTTCATTCTATACATGATGATGATAACATAGTAATGAACAATCCCAAGTAGGACTCTTATGAGCCAAACATCCCCTCTTCCGAAATCTCATATGAGAAACTCAAAACATGATAATCTGGAGACATGATTTTACTGTTGCAAATGCATTGACACAAAAAGAGAAGAAAAATCCAAGACACGTGATTCAGTTTGTATCCTTGTGAATCATTGAAGACCATGATACCTACATATTATATGTAGCATTTGGAGGCACGATTGTACTATTGAGAGTGCATTGAGACAAGGAGCCGCGTAAAATTTTGAGATATATGATTTGATTCTTATGAATCTATTGAAGACCATAATATATATATATATATATATATATATATATTTATAATATACAAGAGATAAAATAACCCAATGATTCAAAAAAAGATTTACGTGATCATCTTGAATATTCAGGTGCACCGGGGTAGCAGACAGATTTGATGGCCTAGCTATCTCCTGCAAGAGATTTTGAAGAAACCATGAAATGAATTAACTAGAGATGTGATGTCAAATATATATATATATATATATATTTATAATATACAAGAGATAAAATAACCCAATGATTCAAAAAAAGATTTACGTGATCATCTTGAATATTCAGGTGCACCGGGGTAGCAGACAGATTTGATGGCCTAGCTATCTCCTGCAAGAGATTTTGAAGAAACCATGAAATGAATTAACTAGAGATGTGATGTCAAATATATATATATATATATATATTTTATTGCCCAGAATTGAATATGAAAAATGAAAATCATGGTAACCATATTCCACCTAATCAAATATGATCACGATTCTTATTATTATTTTTTTAAATGAAAGGAACCTCTATTGTGTTAAAAGAAAGCTAAATAAGTAACCATAGGATGTTTAACATTGTAACAACCATGTGCATATGGTTTCCCAGTTTGTCAAAATTGGATTTCATTCTTCAGCCAAGAGGTAAAATGAGTTAAAAGGGGAATTTGCAGTGCAGAATATCCATGAAGAACCCTTTCAAACATAGGTGTTTAAAGAAATAGACAAAAAAGGGAAAAAGAAAGGAAACAGGGAGAAGTACTACCCCTTGCAGCTTGAATTGATTGATGTTTAGATCTTGCAGAAGCAATATTTTGTCCTGCACTTTTTTCTTCTTGTAAACTCCAACATATATGCAAACTGCCAATAACAGCACCTCAGCAACTCCTGCTATGGATATCCTGGCTATGACTCCACCTGATAATCCTGCTTATATAAATAGCAAAACATTTTTAAATATCAGTAAAGACCCATATTTATCATCTCACATTTGCATCTGAGCCAGGAAATTAAAAGTCAACTTTGAACCAATAGCAAAGAAAGCGAGACACCTGTGTTGCAAAAGGAAAAATAATAAATTGGTATTAGATGTTAAAAATTTATAAAAGGTAGCAAAAATGGCAACAAGTAACATGAATCTAGTATATCTAAACATCATAGTTACAAAAGTTACCTGGAGTTCAGGGATGGATATTTTTCATTTTTATCTGCAAAGAATTGGGACATCTATGGACAAAGTCAGCCGCTTCAGATTTCAGAGATGCCTCAGAAGATCAGCTTCAGGTCATGTAGATCTAAATCTTTTGATTGGAGATCAAGTCCATCATCACATTCGAATCAATCTCCCATAAATCTGAATCATGGATAAGATTTCAGCAACTACAAAGGACAGAGTATGTCTGATAAGTTCAGAAATTTAATCAGCAATTGAAGATTGACCAACAGATAAAGATGTGATTTCCCGAAGACAAAAGTTTAAAACCAGGAATTAAAAGTCATGATGTGCTGTTGTGTTGAAGAGAAGCCAGTTTCAAGAAATCTATACCTTGCTGGTGCAGATGGTGGTGGCGATGGAGCTTCGAAATCAGAATCGAAATCGAAATCAGAGATTCAGATGAAATCGAAATCAGAGAAACCGAGCCGGTGCAGACGGTGGTGGCGGTGGAGCTTCGAAATTGAAATCGCTCTGAATCTCAAAGACGAATCTGTGAGAATGATAATGGTTTAGAGAGGGCTGAGAGAGACGAGATTTGAAGGCATGAGGATTCCAAATAAGGATTTACAAAGGGCTTTCACACCGAATAAATAGACTTTGAAATTGAGAGAGAGAATCACCGAATAAATTTCGAAATTGAAATCGAGAGAGAACTTCGAAATCAAAATCAAAATCGAAATCGCCAAGAAGAATCACCGAGATTGTATCATTCTGAGATGAATCAGCGAGAGATGAATCGATCCATTGAGAGGGTTTAGAGAAAGAGAGAGAGCGAACGAGAGAGTGAAAGAGATTAGGGCTTCAGAGGGTTGCCCATTTAAGGGAGAGAGAAGGGACATTCAAAGGCGCTTTTAAACCCTTGAAACGGTGCCGTTTTATTTTTTCAAACAGCGACGTTTAAGAAACGTCGTTAAATATTACAAAATGTGACGTTTAATAAAACGCCGTTAAATAAACGTCGCCAAAACCTATTTTTCCTGTAATTGGTTATCAATCATGGGATATTTTAAAGTATTTATCACATTGTGATGAAGATCATCGACCAAATCATCTTTGGGAATCATCTTCATGGCTCCAATTCCATGAGGACTCTGCAAAAATAAGAACTAGCAATTTGTTAAAGTTCTGCGTAAGCATGGTATTGAAAAAGAGGTAAAGAAAACATCCAATGCTAGATAATAATAATAATAATAATAATAATAATAATAATAATAATAATAATAATAATAATAATAATAATAATAATAATAATAATAATAATAATAATAATAATAATAATAATAATAATAATAATAATAATAATAATAATAATAATAATAATAATAATAATAATAATAATAATAATAATAATAATAATAATAATAATAATAATAATAATAATAATAATAATAATAATAATAATAATAATAATAATAATAATAATAATAATAATAATAATAATAATAATAATAATAATAATAATAATAATAATAATAATAATAATAATAATAATAATAATAATAATAATAATAATAATAATAATAATAATAATAATAATAATAATAATAATAATAATAATAATAATAATAATAATAATAATAATAATAATAATAATAATAATAATAATAATAATAAGCAATTCAATGATAAAAATATTTTTTAAAAAAATGCTAATTACTAATCTGAATAGATGACCGATTAAGGTTTTTTGAAACACACATCTCACATTGACTTGAGCAGTCAAGGCTATTTTTGCTAACTAAGAAAAAAAATATCACAATTGCAATGCTGCAGTGTTTATAGAGAAGCTCATATACTGATACTTCTCAATGAAACTTCCTATATAATGATTTTCACGAAAAACAAGGAGCTTAGTATCCAAGTCTTAATCTGATTAATATTATCCACAACAGATCACTAATTCAAGTGTTTTTGAATCACTGTTTTCTTTTTTCAATACAAGTTCTTCCACATCCAAAGTCTTTATAAGGCTTTATTGAAGATCATAATAATGAATTGAGAGATATGTTTCCATTACAGCACTGAAATAGGCTTCGAAATGAAGAGTTTCAGAGAGAGACAGAGAGACGATGGAGCTCACCTTAGTAGACGATGGTGCAGATGGTGTTTTGGAGCTTCGAAATCGAAACCGCTCTGAGATGAAATCACTGAGATCGATCTGAATCTCTGTGAATGATAAGCTTTTAGAGAGGGTTGACACAGAGAGAGAGAGAGAGAACTCACCTACCTCGTTGGTGTAGATGGTGGCGGCGGTGGAGCTTCGAGATCGAAATCAAAATCAGAGATTCAGATGAAATCGAAATCAGAGAAGGCGTAAGGATTCAGATGAATCAAAATCAAAATCGAAATTGATCCGTCGATTTCTGCTCGAAGAGATTAGGGCATTCTGCAGGGAGAGATTAGAGTAGGGCATCTGTTTAGAGAGAGAGAGAGCGAGAGAGAGAGAACG